GTAAAATCACCCGTGAGTCACGATAAAACCGGTTGGAATCCCTCGATCACCGTTTTCCCAGGCGGCAGCAGCGGAGGCGGCGCGTCGAAAAGTCGCGCGCGCGACTTCCGGCTCCTTTTTTCCGACGAGTGATGAATCACAGTATACAATGCTAATACACACACACACACACACAACGAGTTATATCTATATTATAATACCCCACAAGTGATCCGTGGGGTGGCTACCTGTTCTCTGACCGTTTTCCGCGATGATTAATACCGTGTGCATATTCATGATCGGTACGCGCCACTCCGACGCGGCGTAAACGTCTCTCTGTATGTATGTGTACGAAGGAGGATTAAAGCGGGAGCTGACTACACATATATACATTGTCCAAGAGAAGGAAACGGGCTAGAGATAGTCCTCTAGATAGACGGTGTAGAGAGAAGAGTGATTCGCGATAGAAGGGATCGTAGAAAGAGACGAGCAGTTACGAAGCACGCGGGTGCGGACAGAGAGAGAGAGAGAGAGAGAGAGAGAGAGAGAAAGAAACCGGAGTCTGACGAAAGAGGAGGTCTCCACTGGTTAGAGGAGGACGGTGCTATCGTGGTAGAGGTGGAGGAGAGGCGAGAGAAGGTGGAGAGGTATGCTGCGCAGCCGTGGGAACCGACTCCCGAGTGAGCGAGCCTATTCCCGTCTCTCTTCCTCCGATCAGCTGCTGCTTCTCTCTGTTTCTTTCCTCCTCTGTCTTCCTTCGAGAGATCACTTCGTCTGCAGTCTATCCTCGTTTCTCTGTCTACATCGAGTCTCTCTCTTCCTTTTCACCTCCAGGTTCTCCACTTCTGTCTTCCTCCTCTGTCTTCCACCTTAGCTCACCTCACCTTACCGTTTGCACGTTTTTTCCTCGTTCATCTTTTGTACAGTGTGTTGTACCTTCTTCCTTTTCCTTTGGGCGACGTTTATGCCGGTGTGCTGGAAGCACACACCGGTCCTCTTTCTTCTTCATTCAGAGACCGTGCCCCCTCGCCCCCCTTCGTTCACCCCTTTATGTGTTCGCCCTCCTCCTCCACTACGTTTCGGTCGCGGCCAGAGAGAAATTGCTAACCGGCTCTACCGAAGAGAACACACCCAACACATTGTTTTACGGGGATGCCTACGCGCGGTGGAGAGAGATAGAGAGGGTTTTCTTCAACTTTTTGTCGGCTTAATTCCCGATCCCTGTAATAAATTAACGGACGATCACGGTGGCATTTGTCTCCTCGACGATTTATTTCCGTCTACTTGCTTCTCTCGAGGATGCTTCTTCTCCATCGTGCCCCCCCCCCCTTGGTTCTTCCTTTCTGGACCCTTTTTGTGTACCGTTTCGTCCTTGCCGCGAGAGAAAAAGGCGATCGATGCTTCTCTGTCTTCTTCGTGCTCTTTCGGCCTTTTACACCTTCTACTTGGCCATTTTTCTGCCTTGTTTTACCTCCTCTTGCCGTTTTTTCCCTTCCGCCGTTGATCAGGCCCATATACTCCACGAGCGCGACCGCAAGGAGGAGTGGATCCTCGGGGGACCAAAGGGGGGAGGGAACCCGCGGAATCTCTCCGACAAAGTCGGGAACTTTCGAACCTGTACACACACGCATGTGACATACCTGGCGACGATCTCGCTGCGTAACCCTTTTCTCCGTCCGTTCCTTTCCACGAGAGACAAATTGCCACCCCCCCCCCACATACACACACACCGAGCCCAGGTTTCACGCTGCTGAAAAATCCGAGCGTGGTATCCCCCGATCCTTCCATGAGAACCATTGGGACCTGAAGTCGGTCCGTGTCTATGATCTCCGCGAATTCGTTTTACTTGGTTAACATATCTTTTGTTCTTCGTTAAATCGTGTGTAAAAAAATACTCGATTTTTTTCAATTCCATTTCATATTTAAACGATTTTCGCGTCATTGGTCTGAAAATGTTCATTTACTTAATACTGTCCATTCACCTGGGGGCAGAATCTACAACACCGATATGATAATCATGAATCTCTCGGAAACTGGGTTAAGCCCCCCGATGGCCGAGCTATAGCACAAGACTTCACAAGTGTCCTGTGTGGTCCCACCGTGAAAACGCGATTTCACACGCGGGGACAAAGTTCACGGTGGCCTATTTTTTTTTCCTCTTTTGTTTCGAGTAATGGAAATTGTTTTCAGTAGCGGTCGTTTACGCGAACAGGAACGTAGAGCGACCACGATGACAGGGAGGCCGGATATAAACATTTATTATTCACGGTGCGGCAACGACTAACGAGGTCGTATGTAATACCAGCCGCTCCTGCTCCCTGCGTCTCTCTTTCTCTCTCTCTCTCTGTATGTGTGTGTGTCAGGTACACCTGGTGGTGTCTACTTGCGTATGTGTGTGACGTTAATAATTAAACGTCGCATTATCACTGCATGCACACGTACCGGGGCACCGCGTGTACGGCACGTACTTATGACACAATAACACGCCGCCTCGTCCAGCGGCGGCGGCGGCGGCGGCGGCGTCGTGCACACACGACAAACGACACACGCGTGTGTCGCCTCTCGGAACAGCAGTAAGAAAGCGTGGGTCGTGTGGTCGCGATCGGGTGTGTTTGCCCATAGGGAGGTATCGTTCGCTGGGACTGAACGGTGCGGGGCCGAGAAAGATAGAAAAACGATTCGACGCCCACCATCCAGAGGAGCCTTTCGCGCCTCGTGCATTTCCACTGTGTAGATGTGCGCGCGGCGGGACGATTAAATCGAAGCCAGGATCGGCGGTTTCTGCCTTTTCTTCGGAATATACACAAAGTCGTGTGTGTGTGTGTGTGTGTGTGTGTGTGTGTCATGCATTTCTACAGGTGGGAGGGGAGTGTAATGGATTGTGAGGAACTACGATCCATTGTTGGGCAATCCTCTTTGATGCTGACGTCACGTGTAGAGTACGCGCGTGTTTCACCCTTTAACGGGCAGACCCTTAAATTCGTTATTTGAAAATTACGAGACTGGTGTACACTATTGTGCAAAAGTAATTGGAAATTTCTCGAGAGGGAATGCTCGCTCGAGACGTGTCGGTTTGGCGCGGGCATTGACGTCCAGAATCAAACTGTAGCAGTTCGTACATTTATTTAGCTCGAGCGATCGAAAATTTTTGAAATTAATAATTTTATTTAAGTAGAAGTCGATAAATGAACAAATGTGAAACAATGAACAAAACTGATGGTCTAAGGGGAACAGTAGTGATAAATTAATGTGAGTTTTTATTGGGAAATATAATAAATTTTTTTTTCTGACTCCCAAAATACGTCCCTCCACTCCACACTCGTTTTATCGGCGTGTCGATCTTAACGAATTCGAGGTGCCATACACACCGGGTCTCTAAATTTTCAAACGAGATCTGTATTACCAAGAGGGGTCGATCGATCGATTAGATAACACGGTGGTGTGTTTCGCTTTAATTCGTAGGTAACGGTCGTCGTGAGAATTAATAGACGATTGCAGAGACGGACGGGTAATTTCAGTTACACAATTGATCGCGTGTGTTCTCCATCCTCTGGCATAGATGTGTGTTTGAGTGTGTATTCCATAATGGTTCGTGCAAACAGAGTGTATAACAGGTTTCCTTCCCCCGAGGGACGATAACGCGTGTGTGTGTGTGTATCGGAATTCCGTGTTTAAACGGTCGCCCGTGTTGCCCCGGTCGCAATCGATTATTTATTTTCGCCTTATACCGATTAACCCGTACGCACATCCCGTCATCCCCTTCCGTTGGCTCGAGCGCGGCGAAACACGTGCCATACGTGATACACATTTGCATGATTTATATCCGCGATGGTCGTTGCGTAAAATTGCGAGAGGGCGAAACCCTCTTCGCTAGGATCGACGAAAATGCGCACGTGTGTATCTACTTCACTCTTACTTCGACCACAACTCTCGGTTAAATAATTCTAGTGGTTCGAGAAAAAACGGTTGGTGCTCGCGCGATCGTCTTCTACGTCGAGGTATGTGTTTCGATGGTGTCGTTCCCCTCTCTGTTTTATTTCATTTGCGGGATAATTCAATTAGAATGACAAGAGAAAGAAAAACATACATATAAATCGAGCGAATAATTTTTAAATTTATAATTTACATTTTCGTACTTAATGGTCATTCACTGGTATCCAGCCAATTACTGGTTGGTTTACCCTGACTAGAAAATCCAAGAGAGAAAAACAAAATGGTAATTACGAGGTTAATCGGTTTTTTATCTATAAGCACTGAAATTTGAAAGTCTCTATTAATATGTTACCGGTGAATAAAGTGTTAAGCGTGATAGGATAATAATTAGAATCGGTAATAGTCATTCTTTCTTCTCTGAACTTTAGGAGGCAATGTTGAACTATGTCTGTATCCCGTGCAACACACGTGACAGCCATCAGGTCCCACCGTGTTCTACCCGGCTTTTTAGGCACGCTTCAGGCCACGGGACACGAAAACAGGCACCCCTTCTAATGCGTGCGGGACAGGTGCAGCCGCTCACGCTCGCGTCACGCCGCCTCGGGACGTTTAATTTATTGTTAATTGCGATACGCGATGGCACGCGCGCGCAGCTGCCGCAAGCGCGTTTTTCGCGACGGGAACTCTGGGACAATTTTACCTGGCGCCCGTGTTCGCCGCCGTCCCTCTTTCTCCATGGAGATCGGTTCGATCACCTTTCATATTCTTCAGAGGCCCCTCTTGTGTTAACGTTATCGAACACAATATCTTTCCTCGAAGAAATTTCAATCCGTTACGGTTCTAAAATAGATGATCGTCGCTAGAGAACTTTATACAATCATATCAGTGTTTAACGAATTATTTACGGGAACACTGGAGAGACAAACAGAAATTTCTTTTCTGCGGTAGAGATTCTATACCAGTGTTTCCTAACAAACCGGGGGACAATTTGAATATTTTTAGTGGAATCTCCGAATTGTTAAATTCCTCTCGTCTGATGGTGTACACAACGATATTCGGGATTAATCGTTCGTTTTATCTGTTCTCAGGGTACCTTCTCGCTGATAGTGGAGGCTTACCATGACGCGGACAACACGACACACCACTCATCCGGTAAGTGATCTTTCGATAATTTCTCGTATCGAAGACCATTCAGGCTGTATTTAAGCGACTCGGGCGTGTTCCTGTTATCAGGCACGAGACAGTGTGCTCTCTAGACACGCGCCCACTGGTAAAAAAAAAAAAAAAAAAAAAAAAAAAAAAACCACAACGACGTAAGACGAGGACGGGACAAGAAAAAGGAAAATAAAAAAACGAACGACGACTATCTTAAAATTAGTCTCTGGTTCACTCTCTCGCTATGGTATATGGCTCTAAATACGAGGAAGGTTTTAAACGGGGCATGTGCAGTCCAGCTGGGTCGTGGCCCCGTAGATGCCACGCGTATTCGGGGTCCGAAACCAGTCCACGTCGAGAAGCCACTTCCGGTGCACGACACTCACCAGAGACACCACACGTAACCCCTTTCTCTCCCCCGTGCCAGCACGACCTGCTGCTTCCTCTTCCGTTCTTATGGTTTCGATACGCGAGTCTTAAACCTTCACCCAAGAACAGAGATGTATCCCTTCCTTCTGGCCTCTACTTCCTTTGCTGACCTTTTCCGCGGACAAATATTATCCTTTTTTTTTGTCCAGGTCGTCTCTGTCTGGTTAGCTTCTTCTTCATCTAGTGGGATCGACAAAAATGTCGGAAACCCTCGACGATGTTACTCCAGGCAACACTCTTTTTTTCCCCACCCTAGTCGCAGACAGATTGAATCTCCACCGTTTCGTGTTAGTCTCCTCGATGAATTCTCTGTTGCCCGCATTCTACCGATCGGGCTTCCAGCTGCCTCTTCAACACTCGCCTCTCGTCCTCCACACTCTTTACCACTACCTTCGACGACCAGTTTTCACTCATGCTCGTCGCTCATTACCGCAACGTGCCCACGTGCACAATGTCCGACCGCCATCGGGCCCGCCGTTGTGTTGTGTCATAGCGAACGGTCCGACGAGAACAAGCAAGAGAAACAGAGATAGAGAATGACATAGAGAGGCACAGAGAACCGGGCGGAGGCACTAGTGTTTCCTTCCTGTGTAACCGTAGCACCTAGCTTCCACCGGTAACACGAGACCATCTGTTACACGAGGATGTGTATGGGATGTATCCCTATATACGGACTCGAGACAACAGAGTCCGTCTCTGACCATACTTCGATCTTTGCCTTCTATATAGAATCCTAGGCCTCCTTCGGGGGTTCTCGATTTTCAGTGAATATCCCCCCCTCTTTGGAACAGGAAGGATCCGATTCGTGAGCAGGAAGCACGACGAATACAGTAAATCATCGATGAGTGGTTACAAAAATTGCATTTCGGTGAATAATTTAGTCAAGTAGAAGCGACAGCCTTCGCGAATCACTATAACCAAGGTGTTCAGCGAAGAGTTGCGAACCGACACTCTCCGAATTTTCTCGTATCCCCTTTCCCCCTACGGGTTCTTAATGATTCTGTAATTGTTGGAGGCTAAAGGGTAATACAGTGATCGAGAAACTTCTTATATACGCAATCTCAAGCAGGTATCACATACACCTACATATATCCGGTCCGGTGTTGCTCGTGCGCTTCAACTCTCGAGTAGAAGTGAGGAGACCCCAGGGCGTTTCTGGTCGCGTCGTAAGAAGGAGCAGAGAAAGATAGAGACCACCGTTTAATTTCATTCCCTCGAGGGTCCTGCGTCTGCCTGGGCAATTAGAGTGAACCGGAGACCGGAAGCTACACTCGGCCGTGCGGCGCTCCGATGCGTGTCGGTCCGAGCGAGAGCGCACGCTGTAGAACCGACACGACTCGGTCTCCCCTTCCCCTCGCCGGTCCTACCGCTCCTAATTGAATTTTCGTTATTTCGGTGGTGCTCGCGGGGGAGACGATCGACGGTTTTTATAATTCGTTATCGCTGCTCGGAGATCTTCCTCAGGAGCTTTCCCCGGATGCGGAAGCAATAAACATCGCCCCCGGAGGAGTTATTTGCATGCACGCACACACAGACACGGTTGTTGTTGTTGTTGTTCTCCAGCGGGGGCCCTCGCGCGTTAATGAGAGAACGTTCTGAATAGTTTCTTGTACGTATAGGTACACCTCTCTGCCTCGATGATTCTTGCCCATCGTTTGTATCGAGTTGATTTATGGGGTATACTTGTGGTCAACATTTATTGGAGGCGCCAGAGAGCATACGTATTATACGTGGTTGATTTTTGCGTATAAAGCAAGTGAATGAGAATGTAGTATATGTACAACTAACTAATAATATAACCAGACTGTGGAACTTTATGCAAATTCACAGTGCTGAATACTGAGATATATACAAATTTTATGTGGATAGAATTTTAAATGTTGCATTAGGGGCTTTACTGGGGGTAATAATTTACATTGGATAGTATTAAACTTTACTAAACCCACAAATACATTATTACAATTTTCGTTTTTTTTCTTCATCCGCGTAGATTTAATCAAGTATTCGTGTCCTAGGTATTTAATTTGATTCTTCACGCACGATGCAGTTTCTACAATTTCTTTACTTTCTCCGTACAATGTACAAACAAGAGCAGTCCCGTAGTGTTGTTTCGAGTCGACTGAAAACCGTCTCCGGTTTTCATCTTTATCTTTTTTAATTAAGTTTCGTAGTCTGGCACAAAGGCTCCAGGATAAGCGGACGCGTTCCAGGCTCATCGAAGCCACTAATTACAAGGGAATCTAGCCAGGCTTCCTCCTTTGTTTCAAAGTCTGCTCTCTCTCTCTCTCTCTCTCTCTCTCTCTCTCTCTCTTTCGAGAACGGAATTCCTACCGTTATCCCACAGATGTACCTGTGCGTATCCACGCTGAAAAGAGGGCTCTACCCATTAATATCCGCGGGTTCTCCCTCTCTCTCGGGGCGTTGTTTGGACACGTTCGCTCCTGGCCTTTATCACCGAAACATACCGACTCGTATTGTGCTCTCTCGCTTTCTCTCTCTTTCTCGGTCTATCGCAGTGGCGGCGATTCGCCCGGCAATATAACGCCCCCAGCGGGGCTGGTTGAAACGAGCCCTTTATTGCCGCATCGTTGCTCGGATGCTGCTTCCTTTCTCAGGCCCACACCGTTCCTCCTTCTCTTTCGCCACCCCATAATCCCTTCATCCTCCTCTTTTCCCTCTTCCTGACTCACTCTCTCACTCTCTCTGGATGTTTGCCTCGATGATACTTCGCGAACCGTGTTACTTGCGCACCTGCGGAATACGGTCCGTTTCGACATACACGTTTGATACCCTCTGTCTCTCTCCCCTTCTATAACTCTTTCTATCTCTCTATCAAAAGTCCATATAATTTCACACGGAAAATACGCGTTGAAGTTCCTCTACATCCTGGAAGCAACACAATGTGAGGGTGGGTGGATGATTCTTTCTTCCGTTGTTTTTTCGTTACAATTCTCTTGTTTCGCAGAAAAGATTTTCGCCAAAGGAAGACACTTCTTTTACAGATTGTCACTTAAAAACAAATTCAATTATTTCGACCTATGTTTATTAGGATATTTTTTTCAACATTTGCCGAGTAATGTCTACCCCAGAAGTTACGAATCCTGTTTTTTTGTTTCACCCTGTATGTATATATGTATATCACGGCTTTTCCTTTCGTTGGTAATCCCGTTCCCGACATACACCACTCATTTGCGGTTGACGTTTGTTAAACGAAACGCGCCCAGCTCGTCGTATACCGATTTATATGACCACACGACTCCGCGGAGACCAGAGTTCTCTGCGGTGTAAATTGCGCTCGCGCTCACCGGGAATCCGGGCTGCGAGCCAGTGTGTGACATGGGCTTACGTCATCGCCGATTGTCACCTTTCGACGTTTTTTCTCTCGAACGCAATGGACGCGTACACACACGAGCAGAATGCAGTGTACACTGCTCCGTGGAAACACACGCAGGCTACACACTACCGGTCAAAAGTATGGGAACAGGTCTGGTAATTAAAATACAAAACGAAACAACTATCATGTCTAAAATCCTGATATTTTAAGGTGGTTTTCCATAACTTTAATTATTATATCATTATTATTTTTGTCTACTTTATTATCATTATATTATCGTAACGGAATAATGAGTTACCGTACCCCTATCGATTATGAACTCTGAGTATCATACTTTTGGTGGATAGCTGTATATCATCGCAGCGCACGCATCTACCAGCACCACCTGTGGCCTACTTCGTGTCCACGAAGATAATGATCCGAGACGGAAGTCGAATCGGTTCACTCACCGATGTCTCTTTCGTCTGCGACGATAAGCGTCCAGGGGGGACTCACAGAGATTCCGGGAAGAGATCGTCTGGCTCAGCCAACTTGGCTCCACCGACGATGAATCTTATCCCCCGTGTGTATAATAATTGTTCGCTCGTAATCGTCTTAATGACACTGTCCATACGGGGATCCACAAGCACTTCCGACTGTTCCAAGGTGTCAGATAGGGTTGTACCTGATTCTTTTAGCACTTTAGAGCCGATATATCGGCTTTGTGGGTTTTCCGAAAAATAGCTTCCATTTTTAATACAATTTAAACAGACGTAATGAAACTTTATTTTTACAAAATAAGTTCATATAAGGGAACATTCGTTTATTGGATAGGAATAATAAAATTAAAAAAAAAAAAAAAGTTAAAATATCTTCATTTTTAAGAGTAAATATATCTAGACCCCACAGCCAGAGTGTATCAAGTCTAGTTTAAAAAAAAATGACATTTTACATGTTTCCTGTATCAAATATTTCACTCTAAGTCCGTACACCTTCTTTCCATTCTAAGTCGTCTAGTTTTGAATGTTCGTACATGATGTAGGTCCATCGCCGATCAAGGATTCCAATTTCCCTATAATCTTTGTTTATAATATCCGTATTGGAATTTTAATATCGTGAGTAGGACAAGGATATAGGAATAAAGAGTATGTGTATGCTCAAAAAGGGGTGGAAACGGGGTTAACCGTCCGAGACACTGTAATCGGGGTTACAAAACGGTCTCTCTCTCTCTCTCTCTCTCTCTCTCTCTCTATCTCTCTATCTCTCTATCTCTCTATCGCTCTATCTTCCTCCCCATTTTTCTTCCAGCCGATAGGAACGGTGTGTAAGTAATGCATCTGGCTACCTGCCAGCTCGAGGCTATATCCTTCGTCGGCCCTGCTCGTTTCTGAATGAACAATAGAAAATGTCTGGGGCTACTCGCGGGGCCCGCTAGCGCGTCGTTAATGAATACCTTGAATCGGCGTGGCCTCGAGTTCACCGGGCGTTTTACAGGTGCGCTACTGCCGCCGCCATTGCGTATAATGCAGTACCCAGGGCCCCCGAGACCCAGTGGTCAAGCAGAAAACGACTCTGAAACACCTTCTCTCTCTATTAAATACCTTGCCTTCTGTGTTCCAATGATATACACGTCGAAAAACGGCGAAGGGGGAAGTTGTGACTGGTTGGATCGGGGGTGGGAAGGTAGAGAAAGGAAACCATAAATTTTTCGTCGGTGTTGTATACCTTCTCGACCCCTCTGGGATTTCTTCTTTCACCATGGATTTGTCATTCTGTCTTCGGGGATTCGGTCCTTTTCCACTCATAGAGTGTGTGTGTGTGTGTGTGTGTGTGTGTGTGGGGGGGCTCTGTGTGGCGATTCGAGGTTCGACAATGTTATTTCCACCGTATATCAATGTTTGTTCACAGGTAGCTCGAAATCAACGAGAGACAGAGACCCCTGTTCTGGTCTACATTCTTTGTATCCTCGTTTCATACTGTGTACAGTGTTACAGTTAGACACACGATTTGAATTTTATTTTTCGTGTCTAATTCCTCATCGCTGCCACGGCGGGGCCCCAGTTACCATCCCGACACGTTCTTTAAATAATTCACACGCATCTAGGAATTATGAATAATTCCGCGTCTTAATGCAATTATGCTCCCGTACAGCACACGGTGAATATTCATCGGGAGCCCCTGGGTATAAGGTTTTTCTCTAACGAGTCTCGGAAATTCGGAGAGCGAAGAATCAAAGGAATGCTCGGGCATTCTTTCTTGAATCGCATAAAGAGAAATCAAATAAATTCCCCCTAATTCCGCTATTTTCCAGGGACACGGCCAATAATTTATTACACAAATTATTTATCGATCTTTAAACATCCATTCGACAGCCGAACGAAATCCTGGGCACCGTTAGAAATGTTCTACAGTAAATCCCGTCTAACATACGGAAGATCGATCGATCATTTCTGAACGAAGACAAAGAATGTAGTGGGGGGGGGGGGGGGGGGGGGGGGGGGGGGGGGGGGGGGGGGGGGGGGGGGGTGTTCGAGGAAAATGAATAAAAAAGAGAGTAACAAGACATTCATCGGAGATCACGGGGCCCGAAAGTAAATGAAGATAAACGGAATCGATGGGCCCCGCGTGTACACGATCCATCTGCAGTTGGCGTGCGAACATCGGCGTTTTCAGAACTCGTAACCAGCATCACCTGGGAAGATAGAGCCCTGGCGAGAGGCCCCGCCTGCCTCCTCCTTCCTCTCGACTCCCGTTTCGCCGACAGCGAAACGTTACTTCCCTTCTGGGAATAGGCTGTGCGCGCAAGGGGCCCTGCGGGTGTATCCTGTTTAAGTATCCCCGGGCACGCCATCGGCGAATCCTCGCGCGTTATGGTCCTTTTGTTTTTCTCCAATTTCTTTCTCTTTTCGTTAGCGTTTCCTCCTTCTTCTACTCCTTCTTCTACTCCTTCTTCTGTTCACCTTCCACCTTTGCAGGTTGTCCTTCGATCTTTTTCTCTCTACGACGCGCCGCGGCGTAACGAAAGGACCATTTTCTGGGGAACGATATATATATATATATACACACACACACGATGATCGGTGGCTTCGGTGGCTTCAAAGAGTGGAGGGACCTTCGAACGGCTGCGCGGCGAATCGACCCCAGGAGGAATCGTAAAGTCCGATTCCGCGGGGCCTTGGTGCGCTGTGTCTCGATTTCAAGATGGAGGGCATCGTCTTTACGGGCTTATAAGCTCCCGTGGAATTCTATCCATTCGTCTCGAATCGTAAAATTGAAAGATATTTAGGCGAGCGGGGAGGGAAGGGTGTAGATGGACGATGATGGGATTGAGGGGAGGATTATCCTTGTGGTGTCTTGGTGGACGTGTGCTTAGAGATGAGACGAAGTGGGCCAATCCTGAGGATCAATTTCTCCACAAGCGAGTAGCAAGTATCACCAAGGCACTGAACATTTAAACGTCGATGTTAGACTCTAAATTAGATCATGTCGTGGGGCGTGCACGAGGTGGATCAACGGTGGAACAGTACACCTGACTCATTGACGATTATAGTCCCCGGAGCGTTCACCGTTTAAGGGTGGATCATCGTTATTATTCGTCCAGGGGCCAACAAGACTTGCTCTCTATCGAATATACAGACCCCGTGGAGCGAAGAATCAAAATTATCGGATATCTTAAGGAAGAGGATCCAGACGAAAGGAAGTAAGCAAGTCGCAGAAAATAAAACTTTCGCTGGTGCCCCTATTATCCAGGGTGTCGAACCGTTTATTACGAGGATCGAAAGAGAAACAGGGGAAAGAAAGGATATCGGTGAAGAAGGGGTGGGGGTAGCAAACATAGGAAAAAAGTCATGGACATAGAGGCTGAGACCACTTAACTCTTCCTTACGCTACCGACCACCATAACCATACAGCACCGCTGGCCCATGATACGGCCCCCCTGCCCCCATTTCGATGTTTGCCAGAGGGTCTCGCACGCACGGACCCCGTAAAACTGGTCCGGCAAGCTGCTACGTATGGACGAACAGAGAGTGTATATATGTATACAATCCCGATGAGAAACAAAGATAGATAGAGCAATCAGCCAGCCACCCCGGCTGCATCGTGAGACGCGCCATGGTTTTTCGGTAGGGCACCTGATCGAGCGAGCTGGCCCGCCTAATCTGCCGACCCATTACGATAATACGTTTAGTAGGAAGCCTGGCTCTGGGCCTGTGTGTGCTCCTTCTTCTTCTTCTTCTTCTTCTTCCTCTCCACGGAAACAGGTAGGAGGAGGAAGAGTGGGCCTGACGTGGAGGGGGAGGGCAGGAACAGGGGAGGAAGAAGAAAAGAAGAACGCCTCTTTCCCAGAGCCCAGAACGCGTCCGCGTGCTCTCTGTGTATACGCTTACTCTCTTTGTGCCGGATGCGTGCCGCCGGCGGAGTAGCAATAGCGGACGAACGTCCGGTCTGCCCTCTCTTTCGATATCTCTCTCTGTCCCTCTGGTTCTCTCTACTCCCTCCCTCGTGCGTCTGTCTGTTTCTCTTGCTACATTCTCTACGTGGTTGATCCTATCCTTCTCTGACCCCCGAGGCCGATGCACTTCGATCGCGTCATTGGGCGCGCAGAGCATCGGTGTTCTCTGCACCATCTCTATTTGTTTCTCTCTTTCTCTGATCGCCACCGATGGACACGCTTAATTACTCTAGCGTTTCAGTTCGTAACTCCTACATTTCGGGGACCAGCTCCTTCCGATTATATCCGGGACGAAATGGGGTGGTCGTGTGTGTCGGGGTAGTTGGGGTAAGCTGGACCATCGATATGCAAACGCACACGCATCGTTGGTTCCTTTCTGTCGGAGATGGGCAAATTAAGTATCTAGATAAAAAGTTCTCGAATAACAAAATTAAAAAACTACCTCGTTATTTTTAATCGTTTAAACGTGTAAATTCTAGTTTTTTTTGTAATAAAACAATACTTCTTCTTGAATAAGTCGACAATTAGCGGAAAAGTTACAGTAAATCATCGATGAAAGTTCGATGGCTTCTCGGCACTGAATATTAAATATTTCATAAACTAATGGCCATGTGCGGCTGAGACAAATATCATTAGCTTCGGAATTCCAGGATCTGTCAGCGTGCTAAAGCTCAGTAAAAACATCAGCGTTACACCTGGGTACCTCTACTTGTCAGTGAGCCTCCGGACACTCACGGAGGATTTACCGTGTTTAATCTCATTAACTGTTTAGTTTTAGTTCAGAAGGATACTTGTAGATATTTTTGTATTTTTCGAATAAAATTCTACCCAACTCTGCTACGTGCGAGAGTTTACACACAGAAACCTATCTGCCCGTCATGGGATTCCCACGTGGGGAGGGAATGCGTCGCGGGAATTGTCGCGTGTACACGTACATATGTACCAACGGTGTGTGCGTTCTCTCGCGTTAATCGGTGGTAAATTGAAATCGAGTCGATAAACCTGGGAACCGGGAAATTGGTTTGAATCGGCCGTGTATCCTGCCGTCGACGGCGGTGCATTGGACGTGTGTCGGGTCGGTGGATCGTGGGGGGAGGGGGGCACACGAAGATCCTGCCTGCAGAGAGAATGGAGCGATTAATGGGGAGCAGGAGGAGGAGGAGAGAGAGAGAGAGAGACACGATGGTGTATGTATCGATGGTGGGTGTGTTTCGTTGCAGAATTGTTCCGCGTGGTCCCGGGAACAGCCGTGCACAACGATACGAAGTAATAACAATGTTAAATGGGATGCGTTTTTGTCCAGAAATTTTATAGGGTGTCTCATTTAATTCGATCCACTCAAATATCCCCGAAACTATTGACGATATTAGAAAATGTTTCAGACACAAGTCAAATGGGAAATCAGGGGGCATACTTTTTGATGTAATTTTTTTCTATGTGAACGCGGTCATACGAAGATCAACTTTATTTTTTTTTTTAAATTGGAATCGTATATTTTTTTTTAATGTACTACTCGATGTTACTCGTTATTCCCTACATAATTTATGGCGAATCAGTGCATTAAAATTCAGTAATTTCATATGACCTTTTCACGTACACATAGAAAAAAAGTTACATCGGAAAAATAGAATTTATAGATATACAGAGATGGATGATAGAATAGTTATGAAAATCAGGGGGCATAAATGTGTATATTCTCCAGGAATTGACGAATGTCTCTCTGACCTAGATCTTCCTTTTTTGGCTTGTTACAGAGAAAGTGTTGATAACGAGGCTGACCACCCAAAAGTGGCTGGACGTCGGGCCGGAGTGGACCGAGGACGAGTACAGAAGCGCTCATTCGAAGATGGTGTACGAGTACAGGGTGACGTGCGTCGCCCATTACTACGGGAAGGGCTGCGAGAATCTTTGCCGGCCGAGGGACGACAATTTTGGTCATTACAGCTGCAGCCCGACCGGCGAGAGGGTATGTCTCTCTGGATGGAAGGGCGACTACTGCAATACCCGTAAGTCTCTCCTACACGGTATTATCTCTATCCTCTGGAGTGCGTATATACTAGCATACATATGTACACACGTCGATGCGTGCACTCCCACGCTTCCCATTCGCGACTGCACCGCGCGTGACATCCCTCCTTTTGTCGGAATTCCGTGTATGAAATTACAGAGACGATCTCTCGCTCCTTTTTACGTTCGTTCAATTCCCTCCAGAGTGCACTCTGGGTGTGTGTGTGTGTGTGTCTTATACACTCGGTATGTACTGACCAACAAGCCTCGGTAATTCATACGGTTCCATGGTAACTGGAGAGCTCCGTCGAATTTCGGATTTTTTCGGGATAACCAGGAGTAGGTGGTTGGAGGAGGGTTGAGTTACCAAGGTATAGGGGGATCGCCGTCGGTGTGGGACATAGGTGTGACAGGAATCGATCAAACGACAGGGAATAATTGGTACTTTGTCTGACACGGGGATGCTTTCTTCCCTGTAACGATAATGCTTCGTATAAACCGGTGTTAGATTTTGTTTAATGTAATCAAGCGGTCGCATTAAAATGGCCCAGGGACTCTATTTCACGTCAATTTCTATTTACATGTCGTCATTATTTTTAGTCCCATTGTGCTTTTCCGATCAGTTTCTCTCAATTTTAAAAGTGAAATTGGCAATTTGTTAAGTATTTTCATCAAATAAATGCGACTGCCTTGAACAAATTTGTGAGTCACCGTAATAACCAAAATTACAATGCGCGTGTGGGTCAGTTCGCCTTAGACGCAACGACGAGTATGTAGTGTGGATCGAAAACAATGCCCCCCCCCCCATTCTCTCTTCTCGCGGTGTTATATAACGTTTAAAGCTTAGGCGCGCGTTCGTGGCGGCACGAAACTCTCGGCGAACTCTCTCGACGAGTAGTCCACGAAGGATACGAGGCCCCCGGTGTGTTGTGCAGCGGAGCCCGGGTCCGAGCGTGCAGCAGCTTCCCACGCTTGGGCTCGCGCGTGTGCGAGCAACACAAGCAGGCACTTTCTCTCTCTTTCTCGCTCTCTCCCCGTCTCTGTTTCTCGCCTGTTCCGGTCCCTTCCCGTCTCATTCTCTCTTTCTTTCTCCGGGAGCCCTCCTTGTCGGTCATTCGTCCGTATCCAGCATCCTCCTTGTCGCACTTATTCGCGTACCTGAGCCCCGTAGCGAGCGAAGGACTAATCCGTGTGTACCTATATATGTAAGCACACACGGGGGGGGGGGGTCAGACACAGAGAGAGAGAGAGACAGAGCAGAGCTCGTTTTGCTGCTCGTGGTCTGTTCGCCCGTCCGTCTGCCTTCTTTCCGCGTACACCACACGTTTTACCAGCTTCGGTTTTCTCTCTGTGCGCGCATGCCGAGAAGAGAGAGAGAATGGTCCTTTCTTCGTGTGTGGCTCCTTCAGTCTCGGGCCCAGGGACGTGGACCGCGACCTCTTCGTTTTCGTGGCAACAGTCAAACAGAATCGATACGGAACCAAATTGTCTTTCTATCTCCTAGCGACGATTTTAGCGTCTGAATTCGCGGGATACCCCCTCGGTCGTGTTGGTTCGCGAGATCCATCACCCCTCCCCAGTCGTGTCGGTCCGCGAGTTACACGGAGCATCACCTGGCTGTGCCTCTTGCGCGTCCCCTCGCAAGCTCAAAAGACTCTTCCGTTTTTTTTCGTCTTGTTCCATGGCACGAAAACCGAGGCTGGTGGTACCTGGTGCCGCCGCGTCTTTCAGGAATTTCGTTACCGCCTTTGTTGGGTACGGGGAATTTACTGGGGATACACAGAGGGGAGCCACCGAGGGGAGGGGGTCGGTTTCGCAAACACACACCATCAGCAACAACGGCGGCCCCGCACGATGGCATCCGAGATTTAGAGTCAATCCTCTATTTTGCTGTCTTCGCGAGCGTGCCAAGTCCCCTACATTCCGCCGAGGAATCCTTTCCCTCCCCCGTCAGACCGTTCGCTGGATGGAATACACAGCGTTCCATCGGGGTCTGTTGAAACATTGTGTTTTGTCCTCTTTCCCGTACAACTCCCGACCCACGGAATCATTGGATGGAAAATGGAGTAGGGCGCGGATTAGCGCGGACATATCCTACCCCCATATCGACGATAAGCGATCATCATCTCTATACGCATTATCGCGCAGAGTATCGACCCGCAGTAGGTTCTACGAGTCTCGTTACGTTCCAAAAGAGAAGGCCCAATATCTTCGTGGAATCGGCGTCGACCTTCCGCGGTCGCGTCCTTCCTCGCGTAGCCAAAGAGGCCCGAGCGTTCGTGTCTTCACCGCCAGCCACAAGCATTCTCTCTCACTCTCTCTTGGTGTCTCCTCGTGGAGGCGCGATCGGTCGTTGCACTCCTCGATCGGGCCGCCGCTCGACAAAGTTTCTCCGCGCATTGATTACTAATAGACTGCTTACTCCTCATTTCGTGGCATTCCCGGGTCTTTCGTGGAATCGTCTCTCGCGTTCGTGCGGCGATTTCGCGACGGAAAAGAGCCCCGTCTGTGTCCTCGCTGATCGGGAGGGCCGATCTTTTCTCACGTGGCCTGAGGCCCCCAGAAAGATAGAGAGAGAACACACGCCCACGCGGTCGCCGCCACCGTTTCCAGGATTTTCGCCGTCTTCCTGTTCCTCCTCCACACCTCCTTCCTCCTACTCCTCCAGCATTGCGGAGGCGATGAGAAAGTCGTGTTATATGTATGTATGTTGTTGCCCCGATCCACCCTTCCTCCTAGGGAGAAAACCAGCTTCTATTCGAGCTCGCGCGATGATTTTATTGCTCCGCGTTACACCGGGCTCCTCGTGTTAATTACCGCCGGATAATATACAAAGGGTGTTTCATTTACAACGACCCACTGGAATATCTGCGAAACCGTCGACGATATTAGAAAATGTTAAATGATATCAGGAGGCACACTTTCTGATGTAAGTAACTTTTTTCTACGTGTAACCGTAGAGGTTATATGAAGGTCAAGTTTTTTTATTAACGGAATCTTATATTTTTTTAATGCACTACTTGATGCTACTCGCTATTCCCTACATAAAGTGTTAAGTCACTTATGATGAATTGGTGCATGAAAAACTATACGGTTCCATAAAAAAAAAAAAAAAAAAAAAAAAAAAAAACAAAGTTGACCTTCAAACGACCTCTACGTGTGCACATAAAAAAAAGTTACTCACACTCGGAAAGTGTGACCCCTGATATCATTTAACTTTTGTCTGACCAATCTTTTAATGTCGTCAACAGTTTCGAACAGATTCGAGTGAGTCGATTTAAATGAAAGACTCTGTATATGTAGAAATATTCACGGGGAAAACGGGTATTTTGAAATTGAACTTGCCCCTGCCACGGGGACGGGTTCCGTGAGAACGTGGTTTCGTTGGTAAAAATATGGTAGTTGGAACATATACACGCATATGAACGTGTGTGTGTGTGTGTGTGTGTAATCTCGTTTCCTTGTGGTATCGCAACGAAGGACCTAGTGTTCGTCTGTGCGTCCACAGAACGTTTGCTCAGGTGACTCTCGGTGTTTGTGCCCCTTTCTGGACGGGGATAGAGGACAAAAAAAGGACAAGAAAGTGTATGTATGTTGATTGGGAGAAAAACGTTGGCGATCTACACCATAGCTTTCGAAACTTTTTTTTTATCGGATAGTGTTTCCGTGGACGAGTATAACGAGAAAGAACGGGTTCAAAAGCACGTAACACGGTAGCAGGGGCAAAGTCCTATAAAAAAAAAAAAAACGGTTAATCACTCCGTCTGTGTCGAGGTGGTGAAAGAGAAGGAACACAGGGCTAGAGGGGTAACACCACGACACGGCAATAACACTTACCGTACCGTTTGGGCGCGCTCGATGATCCTCTAGCGAAAAGGGGTTAACGAGGCCAACGCAGCAGGCCACAGGGGTAGGAGCTATAGGGGTTGGTCTGGCAGCAGCGTATTTTCGGGGGTGCCACGGGGGCCGCCAGTCGCTGTATATAACAGGGGTTGCAGAAGAAGGCAGCTGCAACACGGCGAGTCGAGCCGAAACAGGCCGAAGTGGGCCCCGTGAACAGCTGCACACGTACAGCTCTCGGTGCTTTAACCGAACAGCTGCAACGGCGGTTCACAGTCCGCTTCCATTTTCAACTCAACCCCGTCTCACCTCCCTCTGCGTCCTGATCCACGCATTTTTCCCCCTCTCCTTGTCCCTCTACGGTGTGTCTTTATTGGCCCCGTGGTGTACCTGCTGCCGAACTCTGATGTTTCTTTCATCTCTGTGCGCTCAACAATATCGCGTACAACAGGTAGACTCGAGGGGGTAGGTTAAGAGAGACAGGAGACTTTAGATGCCTTGCGGGGGCCTCATTGTCACTGAAGTTCCACGAAAGGTCAGGAGGCACGAAAAACGTTGGTTACGGGCTAGGTGTGTCCGCACACCTGAGGGTGAAAAATCGATATGTACGTTGCCCCAACACCTAGAAAGCCCTGGATATTCTTGACAAAGGGGAAACGGACCAGACGTCTGCTGGACATTTAAATGGACTGACACACACTCCACGGTTCGACACGTAACAGGGGTTTCGGTTTTCAGGACGTAACGAACACAACGGATAGGTGGTATTCTAGGTGTTTCCTTTAAACTTTGACACCGTGGAATGTTTTTGTCTGCACATACCGATAGAGAGAAGCCCGCGAACGGAACGGCGTATTACCCAGGGGACAGACCATTATCGTTCTAAAGTATATAAACTTAATCGGACGTAATCCCCGCGAGGTTTAATTCAGGAACACCATTTCCCCCCGTCTCGTTTGTTCTCTCCCACCGAGTGGTTCTGTCCAAGAATCTCTGGGATTCTCGACTCGTTTCAACGGGGTTGGAACAACTGACTTGGCTGTTGTGTGTATCCACCGAACGAGAGAAGTGAGGGAATCGTCGGGGCTCTCTCTCCGTGTTCTCCACTCTATAAATACCATCGGGGTCCTCTTTAGCCGTTCTCTCGTCTCCTCTCTGCGATCGAGCTAACAGCCGACGACGACCGGAGAGGAGCCCAGAGAGTCTACGTGGGCCGTTGCGCTCGGTGCCAAGGTCACGGCGGCCCATCAGCTCCCCCCTCTCCAGTGTCCTTACCGCGTGACCCCTAGCAAGCCCTCCAGGGAAAGGGGTTCACCTTCTGTCCGGCCGATATACCACCTTCAACCCCTTCATTCAGGAAGACACGGGTCCTGGCCGCCAGCCGCCAGTCCTTGAACCCCTTTGCATCTCTTAGCCTCTTTCTCCCTGTTTGCCTCATTCCCTCTCTCTCTCTCTCTGTCTGGTCGTCGTAAGCCCAAGGGTTTGTTTTCCATCGATGTATCTCTTTCTTCCTCGTGTTTTTGTCTTCGTAACCATTCGAGTACGAATGGCCCGGTTTCTTCTCGAAAACTTACAGGGGTAGAGAATCGGTTTTGAAAACAGAGTGCTGCCGAGAAAGCTTATCCTCTTGCGACAGGTATACGATAACTGTTGCAAAGACGAGACAGCTGCTTTGCTGGATGCCTCTATTTCCGTTTACGAAATTCACAGAACTCTACCGCACACCTCCAGATGATCGTTGCGAAACAAGGTGCGCGTACCTGAAACAGTTTATTATGTGGCACACGTGACATGGAAGAAACGCTGATCGCGGAATGGGGGAGGGGAACGGGTCACATGGTAACACGGTGATATTCGTGGTTCGTACAGGATGTACCATGTGACTCGGTCCACTCATTACCCTCCGAAAGCAGGATTCAGGCCAAGTTCGAACGACACATAACATTTCATGATTCCGCATTGGTATAGTTTATCCGACGTCATTCTTTAGTGTCCCCCAACCCCCCTTTTATAATTTCCTCCTTGGGTTCGGCTAACAGAAAGGTGGTCTCGGAAGAGAGAAAAGGTGACGTGAGACATGTGTGATTCCCGTGTGTAGTATGTATATGATTCGATCTGTATGTATTTACTCGACCGGTGGCTACGAGCCAAAACCCGTAAGACTTTGGGTATTTGCGGACTCTGGATAAGCTCTGACTCGTCACGCGACACAATTTCATTGCGTCCGTACACAAATCTGTCTCTTTCCCCTTCGCGGGGAGCATTCCTGGAATCCTTGAGGGGGGTGTTCTCGATTGCAACTGACTGGAATTGGCCAATTAGGGTAAGGGGGTGGGAAACCTGACGTTAAAGGTGTGTATACGATAAGACAACGATCTTCACCACACGTGACACAATTTTATCAGCCTTGCCAGGGGACACACAGGCGTACGCGTTCGATCACGCAACGTATCGTCGTCGGGGCTGTGGTACGTACGTGCAGCTATGCGAGGCAACGGCCCCGCGGTCAGACTCTCTCCTCCGTTCCCATATCCAGTATTCCCGGAAAACGGGAACGATGGTTCGTGTGGTTACATATATACGACATAAATTTTAATCAGCCCCGAGATCCACCCATCGGGGAATGTCGAGGTGTGAACGAATAATGATCCACCTGTCCACAAGGAAATCGGTTTCCTTTACGATGGAACGAAAAGCCTGCGTGTGTACCCAGAAGGACGACGGATCCAGTAAGTGTGTCATATTCTTCGTACCAACTGAAAATTCCTTCGTATAGTCCCCCCTATCTGACTTCTACCCCGAAGAAAAAGCAAAAATCGAACGCAGCTTTGTCGGAAACCAAGAGAGAGGGAGAGAGCCGATTTTGCGATCGTTTGAAACACAATCGATTTTACGACTCGATTAACAACGGGGTCGGGCCCGAAGCCTGTAGCAGGGGGTACCCACCGGTAAATTATCGGAGTTCCAGTACCCGACTACCAAAGGCCCAGGGAATGCACGTCGAGATGCATCGTGTATGTGTGTGTGTGTGTGTTTGTACCGAGTATATATGTGTGTTCCTACCTATCTACCCGCCTCGTGCAGTCGTGAGGGACGCGATCGACCTCTCGCGAAGAGTTGCCTTAACCTTTAAGATTTTTTTCTTACTCGTTTCAGCCCGCTGCCTGCCCGGATGCGACGAGCAGCACGGACACTGCAGCCGACCCGACGAATGCACGTAAGTGTACATATATTGTACATATACATATATATATATATATATATTTATACACACACGCGTACTTATGCATATACACATACAGACGCCAAAGAATATATGCACACCTACAACCTCTTTCTGTCTATCCATTTCTCCCTTTCTACGTGTACATACCGCCTGTACTCTTCTTCTTCTTCTTCTTCTTCTGCTTCGTCCAACCGACGATATTACATTCCTCGTTCTGGACGGATAATCGTTCGCGCGCGCGTGCCCATAGACCTCTTGCAGTCGTTAACACTTTGATCGTCATAGTGGTACGTCTGTTCAAAATCAAAAATTGAGATCGGTCGACATAATAGTGCATCTTTCTGAAATAAACATTATAAATTAACACTAGCACAAGTTGGTTCAATTTTCAACTTCCTATATCAACCCTTTGCTTTGCAGTATTTTTTTGTTACGACTTACACGTCTGAAGAATTACCCCGGATACAAAAGGAATATTCTATTCTTATAGCAAGTGTGTGTGTGTGTGTGTGTAACATTTACCCTAAATCTTGAATACAAACTACCGGCCATATGTGTGGGACCAGGTCTGACAATTGAAGAAAGAGAAAAATCTTATACTACAAAGATTTGATCAAAAGTAACGCGTCAAAATTGATTGGAAGTGTTTTAACGTGATAGGGGAGGGGGTGGAATTCACGGCATTCGGCTGGATTTCCGTCGTAACGTGGCGCGCCGCCACGGAGTTCTTGGCCCTTGCTTTCTTACGCACACCTTACTTACGCACGTCTCTTTTTACTACCCCTCAGTAGGTTTTTTGTTTTTTAAATTCGTGTCTGTTGCGTCGTGTCATTTGGGGGGGGGGGGGGGGGGGGGGTAGAAAGGAACTGTGGTACCGAAAGGGGACCACAGAGAGATCGATCCGGCGAGTTTCTGTATTTGCCGGGAATCCTGCGGCGCGCAAAGCTATAAATACGGAAATGGGGTTCAAAGATCCTAATTCAGACTGCGCGTGTGTCTTGCATTCGTTGATTTGTTTTTTTTTTTCGTTCAGAGCATTTTTTCGATGCGATGTAAAATAAAAAAAATTTTCAAGTTGGTTGGTTTAATATCGATATTTTCAACTTACTGGTTTAATGCCTGTGTGAAGAAACGAACGTTATTAAAAAATGACTGTGCAAGTATGCGCACGGCGTAAATTTTTATTTTTAACAGTTTTCATTTTTGAAAATCCGTTATTTTGAAAACCGTGTAAAAGCGAAGTCCTGTAAATAAAAGTACTGTGGAAATTGGGGGATAGGTGTACTACTCGCCGATTGTACTCAACACGAATCATACGGGGACCACACGGTGTACGTGTAGCGTGCAGCGCGGGATGAATTTTAACCGCGAATAATAAAACAGAAGAGAGCTAATCGAATCGAGGGGGGAGAAAACGATCACGTCGCAGTCGGACGGGGGAACGCTAATTTCCCGTGATTCGTCCTCGCCTCGAATCTCGGTAGGTCCGACGTTAACCCGAGGTTTGCAGTTAACTCGATCATCTAATTACTCGAACGGGCCGGGGTTAATTGTCCCGTTAGCCGGCGGCGTGCAACGGCCACGTCGTTCGAACGAGTTCCCGCGTGCGACTCGACACAAATGTCCCTACTCCCTATCACCCCACCCCCTCCCCCAGTGAGACAAAAATCATAATCTCGAAAATAGACGCGCGTCCGTCTGGAGGAGCGGGTTCGCCTCTGTTTTAAAACGTCCCAGACGACCTGGAATTTATAGGCGCGCGGATGCTCGCAAAACAAGAAACTGTGCTTGTAATGTACATAATGTTTATAAGGTTTGTACAAATTATGGTTAATAATAACTCGATGTCAGCTTTTTTTCTGAAAAATAAAAGAAATCTAGTTTTCACCATCCGAGTTGACAAATTTTCATAAATAGTTGATTTGGTGTGTGCGCGATCGTACCACGCCGATCGTCCCTTTCGTTGTGTGGAATCGAAATCTTCCTTTCGAACACGGGATAACTGCGCAGTTGCGGAAAGTTCAGAGGCTGAAAGTATCCTCTCTACTCGGTGCATGCGGTGCACCGATTTCCCGGCCACGACACGATCACGACACAACACGTCGTGGTAGTAAATCGCCGACGGGTCGCGATTCTAGTGAAATAGGCCCCTCTCGCCTGTGGATCGACGACTGCAGAGAGAATGTTTACAAAACGTGGCGTGGAGAGACTCTTCTGGTTAGGTGCTGCGCGTACAGATCTCTCGCGACAGGTATAGGTCGATTCCGTTGTTCCTAAAGTCAGGTGACCAAAATGTTTTACATTGCAATTAACCAAAAAGAAAGAAGATATTTTGTATGAAAATGGGAATATCGATAGGTCATATAAAACAAAATTTTTTTAACGGTACTCGCGATTATCTTTCCTTTGATTTTAATCTGGTGGTATGCTTCGAAATTATTAGAAAAACCGCTCATGTGTCGTTTCGGTGTTTTTTTTTTATGTATTCGAGAAATATTCCCTGGAATAACACATACATACATACCTACACAGGGCAATAAAATCGGTTCGAATTACGCTTGCCTGCTGCGTATATCTCTACGCGTGGAAATAGCCCATACGATCGCGCCTGAACGCAATTACCGTGTAGAGAGAGAGAGAGAGAGAGAGAGAGAGAGAGAGAGAGAGAGAGAGAGAGACAGAGTCCTATGGGGGATGTTGGCCCCGTTCGTGATACGTGAAAGAATCGTCGATCTTATATGGGGTCTTTCTCCCATTGAAATTTCGGAGTCCACGTTCGGTCGTGCCGCGTTGTATCTGAATACCGATGAAGATGCACATCTGTGTGCATCATTTCACTATGTCCTGGCTTTCTCTCTCTCTTTCAGCGTGCGCGCGCGCGCGTGTGTGTCTCAACAGCCACGCCATGTTGACGATATCTGGGTCCTGTTAATTTGCAATGACTTCGTGTCGAAATCTGTTTCCATGTATCCCCCGTGGTATCGAGGTGTACACTGTATTATAATTCTGTTAGCACCGTTACACTGTTATGCAGCTCAGTTATTTGGATGAAAAATACAGCACGAGTACTGGTATTCGGATGGTAAATACCCCTTCTCCACTCCCGAATAGTGGAATTATGAAAGGGAATATCATCGAGTACCAGTATTCGGAAAGAGAATATCATCGAATACCGATATTCGAATAGTAAATACCGCTCCGAGTACCAGCCCATTCGAGCACCGAGAATCCACGAACACCACGCGTTTTCCGTGCACCCAATTTTTCTGTCTCTCCCTGCATCCACGGCTATCAGAAAAATCAGTTTCGCGTCCTAGGAAGTCTGTCGAAAAAAAAAAACACATGGATGCTTCGAGTATCTCACTGGCTTAAGCGCACGTACACACACATATACGATTACCACACAAGAATATAGTAGTATATCCGCGCACGTTTGGCGGCTGCAGCGGCACAGTTCGGCGGCTCGTTTCGTTTCGTCTTTCTCTAATGATCGCGCGCGCGTCCGATCGTGTTCCTGCGCCTCGGTCCCGGGCGACGACGAGTGCGGGCCTTCTCTCGATTACGCTCAGGCGGCCCAGTGTATAGGTACCAAGGGATTTAATGGTATAGTCATGCGACGACGTCGACGGCTACACGGCGACTTTTTTTTCCCTCCACTTGCTACGATAGTATAGCGATACATGCACGTATATTTATATATTTGTATATACAGGGCGTCCCATTTAAATCGACCCACTCGAATATCGCCGAAACTGTTTTGACGATATTAAAAAACTTTCCAGACAAAAGTTAAATGGTATCAGGGGGCCACACATGCCGATGGAATTTTTTTCTCTGCGGACGTGCAGAGGTCATATGAAGCCAGCTTTGTTTTTTTAAAAATGGAATCGTATTTCTCAAGTAGGGCGCAAAAATATACGATTCCATTTAAGAAAAAAAAACAAAGTTGTATCAGAAAGTGTGGCCCCCCTCATATACCATTTAACTTTTGTCCGAAACATTTCTTAATATCGTCATAAGTTTCGGTGATATTCGAGTGGCTCGTGGGACACCTTGTATATATATATATATTTATATCTATATGTACATGTGTCGGTGATTATGAAAGTGGTCTAACTAAAAGATGTAAAATAATTGAACGTATCACTTATTTGGTGTTACGTTACATCGATATAAAAATGTATAAATATCAATATAGAATATTTAATTGACTCAGGCCATTTTCATATATATACTGTACAGACACATAGAGGCGAGCGCGCGGATGGGTATATTAGTGGGCAGAGCAAGGCGCGCGCGCACACACAGAGAGCCAAGCGTAACCTTTCCTTGACCCGCATACTGAACGGCTGTGCCGAGGCTCGGAACCGTGGGAACACTACTCGACGACTCGTCTCCCCCACTCTCCTTCGAATTCTACCTCCTCTCTACTGTCTCTCTTGGCTAAGGCTCTTCTTCCCTTCTCTTACCTCCTTTTCCTTCTCCTTCGTGTATCCTCTCTCCCTTCGCGACTTTCTCTCTCTCACACACACACTCGTTCCATCTGCGTCTTTCTTTCCCTCTTTCTCGTTCGGCACTCTATGTGCACACACACACAC